TCGAAACGTCAAGGAATGCTAGAAATCCACAATACTATGGCAGAGGATGAAGGGCTTGGTACGTTCCGCAAATTCTCCCTGTCGCTCAGACCAAGTTGCGAAAACAGGATTAAACCAACACTATACAACTAAAGGATAGTGCAACTAAACATAAGGCTACACCATCTTGGTCTTGATATTTTGGATATGATTTCTATTATTTATTATGAAAATGTGAAAACTTGTGAAAGCCCTATTGATTGGCTTTGTCTGAGCCTCAGCCAATAGTTTGCAATTCACTTTGGAGTAACCAGACTTCACTTTGACTAGTTGTACATTAAAGGAAGCACGTATCCGGATGAGTCTCTATGTCCGGAGCCTCTTTTAGAACCTTGCTAGAGCTATGTCCGAAAGCTCTTGATTTGCTAGGCCTAGAGGTAAGCCCTGTGTAGTGACGAGATTTGATTTGTCGACTCAAATAAGACCTGCAGCGGAGTGATGCACATTATCTACTAATAAGTCGTCTCTTTCTTACTTAAGTATCGGGAGCTAGCTGTTTATGTAATGTGACGATACAAACTATTGCCATTTTGGAATAATTCGTCAGTTAAATCTTAACACATTTTGGGCCAATTATCTTAATCTCAAGACATAGTTGTATATTTTAAACATTATTTTAGGCTGTGTGATGATTTCGTTTAAGATGATGAAGAACTAGTAATTGAATATTCCCACAATGATATGAGTAGAGCTGATGTTTACATTGAATTTTACATAGCCTTGCTTTCCCAAAAGGTGTTCTCACCCAGGGTGGGCTGCAGTTTCGACTTCGTATAGGTCTTATCAACAGCCTCAGCGAAAGTCGAACCATGACAATGCAGCGGGTAAGCTCGACACGTTAACCACTCCGCCACATTGCCACGAATGAATACATCTCATATATCTGATTTACTGGTAGTTTGAAGACCTACTCAATAACCTTATGGGGAATGCCAGGCGTCCTTTTGCAAATCCTTTTCACGTATCAATAGGTTTACCTAATATACCCGATGTATGTAGCAAATGATTAATACTAGTATTTATCTAAACTTCCTTCTATCCTTTTTATTCAACGTCTTTTCATTCCATTATTTCTTTAATAGGTCTTCATCAGTTCCGTCGTGACATTGAACTGATGACTGGGGAGCGCCCCAACTGGTACTGGCGTATCTGCTGGCTAATAATCACCCCCAGTCTGATTGTATTCCTTCTGGTATTCATGCTTATTAAACGGCAGCCACTTCAGCTTGATAATTACAACTTTCCCCGCTGGGCGGACTGCCTGAGCAACTTAGTTGCTGCTTTTCCAATAATCTGCATACCCGGATGGATGGCATACAAATTCTGCAAGGAGGGCGGATTCATTGTTGGTTTTATATATTTTCAATCCACTTTTCAGCTCTAAATGTACCTAAGATAGGGTTTCTTTTTTAAAAGGCATTGCTGACATCAACACTAATGTATATTAACTTGGCAACATGAATACAATCCCAAATTAAGTCGCTTTTCTTGTCGTTTCTTCACCAACCATTTTGTTACTGAATGAAAATCAATTCAGTAATAATATTTTAAAGAGAGCCTTAAATTAATAGGGGCTCGTTGGAGTAACTTTGTAAAATTGAATAAAAATTGTTATATATCAATAATGCATTTCAAATGTATCGATTGGAATGGTAATGTGAGTGAGGGATCTTAATTGTTTTGGTCTATTTGTCTTATTTGACTTTGTAATATAATGAAATGTATTGCATTTAAGCTGTCCCGAAGATCTTATTAACAAACAATTGCAGGC